CATTTATATCCCTGGTAAGTATGATGGTTTTAAATTTAAAATTTACTACGCTTTCGAACTTGTCTATTATATAGTAATAGTAATTTAAAAATGTCACTTTAATTAAATCCAATTTATTATGCATATTATGTGTGTGTGTGTGTGTGTTTATGTTTACATACAATAGAAATTTTTTTAAGTTATTTAAATATTCGCCTGACACTGTCCCCAAGTTCATTTTTTGTTCTCATTTGTTGCCAGAAACTACCGGTCGCGCCATGGTAGTCCAGAAGAAAGAAAGCGTGTTCAACACACTCAACGAATGTGAAGTGGAAGATATTACTTTAGAGTTTTTCTACAAACCTCATACCATAACTTTATTGATTTTGTCAATCATTGGAGTGATTTTTATGTCCTTTATTCGAGATGACAAATCGATTGATAGCAATATCTGTGCTGGAATCTGGTGCGTTATATTTTTTTTAATTCTTGTATCTTTATTGGCATTCCCAAATGGCCCTTTTGTGAGACCTCACCCAGCAGTCTGGCGAATGGTATTCGGACTAAGTGTTCTATACTCATTAACATTGCTGTTTTTATTATTTCAAAAATATGAAACTATTAAAGGAATGATATTATGGCTTGATCCTAATCTAAAAGATTTYCGAATCGATATGGATAAAGAATATGGCGTTAACTGTTCAGATATCTCTATAGAGAAGTTTTGGGCGCATTTGGATGTATTTGCTGCTGGTCACTTTTTTGGATGGGTATCAAAAGCAATACTAGTGAGACATTATGGAATATTGTGGTCAATGAGTATGATGTGGGAATTCACTGAAGTAATGTTTTCTCATTTATTGCCTAATTTTAAGGAATGTTGGTGGGATGCATGGATTTTAGATGTTCTACTTTGCAATGGATTTGGTATATGGGTTGGAATGAAAATTTGCAAAATGTTGGAAATGAGGGACTATAACTGGCCTGGTATTAAAGATATYGACACAACTAAAGGTAAAATCAAACGAGCTGCACTACAGTTTACACCAGCTAGTTGGACACCAGTTCGGTGGCTAGATCCAAATTCATCATATATGCGATTTTTTTCTGTGTGCCAAATGGTAATTATGTGGCAAGTATCTGAACTGAATACATTCTTTTTGAAGCACATATTTGAAATGCCACCATCACATCCATTAGTTGTTGGCAGGCTTTTCTTTTTGAGTATCGTAGTTGCACCATCTACTCGTCAATATTATACATATGTGACAGATCCTAATTGTAAAAGACTTGGGACACAGTGTTGGGTCTATGCAGTCATAATGGTCACAGAGTCACTGTTGTGTATAAAGAATGGAAAAGAATTATTTCAGCAGACTGAAATTTTTAACATATCAGTATGGTTGATGATCATGCTATTTTTCTCYGTTGTGAGTGTATTGGGTTTTTGGCAGGCTGATTGGTTAACAGGAAAAAAATTTGATGCAGATGTTGTTCCAAATTCTATTTCGAATGATAACAATTTTGAAGAAGACTACAAAACTARCAAGAGCAAAACACTTTAAAATTATTTCCCTAAGTAGCATTAGTTAGTAGATGCCAAATATGTACCTATATTAGAATCATTAGATGACATTGCAAATTGTAAACTTGATATATGTGACCTATTCCTTAAAATAATTATTTTGGTATTTATTTAAAAATAATGGGACATGTATATTTTATTTATRAGTTCTTTACTATCAGATCTTGTATTGTTATTAGTTATTGTAATAACGTTATGATAAAAGACTTATTTAAGCCTAGTCACGTTATGTGTATTTGTTATTACCTATTTTAAATCATTTTTCTTTAAAATGATATTTATTGTGATACAAAATATCAAGTACTGATATTGTAATATTGTGTGTTTAGTGCATAAATAGGTTACTTGAACTACTCGTTTGTATTTTTTTTTCGACTGTATTGATTTTTAATTGTTCCATAATAATATTAATAAACTCCACTGAAAAAATAAAAATAAACGTGTTGTAGAATAATTAAAGTATACTTCATTATAAATACTATAATACCTAGACGTTGAACATATTTTAAGCGTTTGCTCAAGGTAATAAAATTAGCATATTAAAAAACAAATTATGTTATCATAGTATCCTAGTATTTATACCATTTAAATCATTATTCTACCTACAGAAATATTTTGCTTGTACTTTAAAAAATTTAGAATTAATTATTTTGAATATTATATTTAAAATAGTGTATTGCTAATTGTTATACTCATTTGWCTATCATATACTCTTACATCTTCAATAATCGTGTTTCTATTAATATCCATGAGCTTTGAGATGAAAATATAGTACAGTAGAAGCCGCTTATTAGGAAAATTTTGGACTTTGATGTGTGTATATTAACTGATTATTTGTAATATGCGCTAAGCGATTGGTTTTATTTATTATAAAAAAAAATATTATAATTTTAAAAATAGTAGCTATAACGGAAAAAAAAATTTTATGTTTTGAAATATGTATCTTCTGGCAATGTCGTTTTACCAAAAAGTTGCCTTTTGCTCGTCTTTGCCCTTTTGGCTCTGTTATTATTGAGTGCGTATATGTGTTTGGGTAAGGATCTTAAATAAAACCCAGTCTAATTCACTCATTCCAATAAAATTTAAACCACATTAAATTCAGCTCTCCTCTGCCCTTCGTAGGTTTTATATTATGTATAGTATGTACAATGTAATTATGGTACATTAGTTATCTTAAAATCAATTATCTTATATGCTCTTACAATAATCAGATTGATTTACAATGTTTYAATACACAATCTGTCCTTAAATATTTTGTTTCAATAATGTGATTCTATAAATTATATGTGTTCCTAATAAGCGATTTCTATTGTATATAAAACAAATTATTTATGTATCAGTAATTAAATTTTAAGCTACACTTTTAACAGACATTATTTGGACAATACTTTAATAATCAAATTAATTATATTGGCATTTTCTTGTTGTGCTGTTTTTTTAATCATAARTTAATATTATTAAAACAATTAAAATAGTAAATTAAAAACCAATTAGCAAACACTTGCAATCATGAGCATAACTAATATCA